AAAATCTTTAAGACAAAAACGGTCTATTTTAACACGTGTTATACAATTGAAGTTGTGTCACGATTAGTTTTCTGATTGCTGCTGTGTAAACCTTAAACTAATCCCCCTCCCCCATGTCTTTTATCCCAAATCATGGTGCTTTTTCTTGCAACCAGACACACACACACACACACACAAACGATCCCCCCCCCCTCATCTAATCTGTATCTGGTTGTGGGATTAATTTGCCTCCATATGCAGCGGCAGTTGGACAGTTGGTTAATTTTGGCTGCAACACGACAGAGATTGAATTGTGCCATTACCCCTTATGAAAGCATTTTGACTGCAGGGGGAACGGACGACTGAAGTTCCCAGTGATTCATGATGCTTGTGAAACAGCAAACCCCAATGTATAGTATATATGCCCAATATACAAGAAATAAACATTGTGATGGCAGCTCGCTGTAAGGCTGTTTTATGTCAACTTTATTTTTTGGACTCTATTTTGAAAAGCTTCCCCATGTGTTGTTTTACTTCCTATGTCTCATTATGTAAATTAGCCGTCAGTGTATTTATTACCGTGTTTCCACCTTTCAGTTGTCATATTTATACATTTCGTCATTGCCTACTTCTGTTTTCTACTCTCGTGTACTTTGACTTTTTAGTTTGGTCCATTTCCTCTCCATTAAAATAGAGGAAGCAAGATGTACGACCTGTACTGCATCCAGCCACCAGGTGGTGCTCAAGAGGCTTTGGCTTCACCTCTAGCTATCAAGTCATCTTTAAAAACAATTGCACTGAGAAACATGGCGAGGATAAAAAGGGGTTTTATAGGGAACAGATGCTCATTGAGGACATTTAAAGCCACTAAAATCCGTCCACATCAATTTAGTGTCACAACTAAAATGAGAACAGAAGTAAGAATATGAACAAACCTCTTAAATGTTTTCATTCATCACATTTCTCATGCAGCGAAGCCTAATTCCCCACTTATGCTTTATCCTAGATGATAACCTGAGGACATGTCATTAGATCTGGACAGATGCTGTGTCTCCCCTGACAAGGCCACTAATCCTCCAGCACTGTCCCCTCCCTCGTGTTACACTTATACTATTAACGCTTCTGCTGCAAAGACGTGAACATCAGTTTGTGCAAGCATCTGTTCAGAAAACAACAGCCCCTCCATTCTTCTTGTGGACACTCAATATAATTGTCTTCCTCAGGCTGTCGAGATGCGTCGAGTGAAGGAAAACAAGGAATTTTCAATCTTCCCTCCTCTGGAGCCAAACAGTATATATCTGAAACATGGATAAAAATATATAGCTCGATGTTGTATAAAAATATATATTCATAATTACATTTTCATTTAAGACGATGCACTTTATTTGACATTATTATTATTTTTCATGATGTGATTTAGATTAGCCAGGTTTAGCCAGTGGAGTATATATATTGTTTTGCTCTGGTCGATGTAAACAAGTCAAAGCCAGAATAAGGCTGACACCCAGATTACGTAGGTTCATACAGATGCTGTGCAGTGATGCCAAAACACAGTGCTCATAAAACTCCTGTAAATTACAGCCCTACTAATTAAACTAGATTCATAAAGTTTACTGTAGCAGAATCTAATCGCTGGGGCTTTATTATCAGCTGTGTCCCGAGTGAAAGCTGCAAAAGCATTAATGAGGCGTAAACTGTTGGAGAAAAATAAACCCACATGAACTTTGAAAGAAGACGAATAAAACTATAAAATCTAAATTCTGAATAATCTGCAACTTCATTTCAAACTGTAGCTTCCTGCCTTGTATCAGACAAGAAGATAATAAACTTAGTTTATAATCAGAGTCAAAGGTTGTGATTGATTTTTAGTGTTGAGGAAATTAATTGGAGGATGGGGTGAATTAAAATGATCTGATTTTGACACCAGGGGTCCAAATGAGCTTCCCATCTCCTACCTATTAATGTTAGTCTTATGTCTTCCACCACCAAAACCCTCCGTAACCTTGTTTGTATATTTGTGATTAAAAAGTTGCCTCAATGCAAAAATAATGAAATAATTGGTAAAACAAAATAGATGTTTACTTACCGGTTCTATTAAAATAAGAAATTAAAATGATTTAATTACCAATAGTAGAGAAAATAGTAGAGTAGCCGCAAAGAAAAAATACAACGGTGAAGGAAAAAGTAAAACAGTTGAAATAAATGTTAGAATACTGCCATTAAATGTCAGCTGGGGTTAAAGTCAAGTGTTGTCAGATGTCAACGAAAGCAACCTCGATTACTATCTTGTTTAATTTCATATATCCCACCAGCCTCTTTAGTTCGATGGCCAGAGCTGCTTCCTATTGAAGACGTTAGGTAGGGGAGGGGATTGAGCGAAATTGAATCTTTGCAATTATCCGTTTTGAAAAGAACTGCTCACAGCTGTAGGTCGACCCAAACAGATGAAAACTGCATGTTCCCTCAGGACGTACAGCTCATAGAACTCGAGCAGAGGGAGGCTGTTGTACCGACTGTAGCTCTGAGCTTGTTGTTGCTTTGCAGCTCAATGGTTTTGTGTTGTAGTACATCATCAGGTGCTTGTTGGGCACCACAAAGAGTCTTAACTTTATACAGGGGAATTGTTCCGTGCAACTCATCCAGTTTTCCTGAACGATGCTTGACGTTGGCCTTTTTCGTTCATGTGAGCACATCCCTGCACAAACTGTTCTGTTTTCTACTTTGACAAAAACAGATGTGGTGTGATCTGCTTTTCGTGCCCTCATTTATTCACTAAACTGAATTATCTTGGTGATGTGTTTTCATGGAACCAGCTGAAGTTGCCTCAGCTTTAAGTGTTTTTCAGCTAATATATGCTGACTGTGATTAAAATCTCCCTTTCTGATGAAAGTGCTTTTCTTCTCCCTGTGGCACAAAGTCAACCTCACGCTGCAGACTCATCTGACTTCAGAACGCCGTGAGCGAGGAGTGGTATTATTAGATTACCTGTGATGAAGTGAGTTCGATTCTATTGCCAACTGTCTACTTGTTATGAGGGGCGGATGTGTATATTTGTAATTTCATCCTCGTGAGTGAACTTGTTCATGAACGTCCTCTTCTTGGATTTACACAATTAACTATCCATGACAATGCTGCTTTCTTGGAAATTTCATGCCACCTTATCTCCACAGATCTAATTCACCCGCCTCCTGCAACAACCTTGGTCTAATTTCATTTGCCTGTTAAAGGCAAATCCCATTTGGTGAAATTCAATACACTTTCTGAATAGTTGTTTTATGGTCTTACGCTCCTTGTAACTCTGTTTTACGTTTCAAAATATTGAGGTCATAAAAAGAGATGCATGAAAAAAACATGATTTTTTTTTCCTAATTGGACAGGTGATCTGCTGGAGGTTTAAAAAAAATGTTTACACCAAAACTGCTGATGCATGGCATTGTGGGGAAAAGATAAGTGAAGGCTAATGCTGTGTAATTAAAAAGGTTGCATATCTCTACGCAACTAGAATATCACTTAGTCGAGCAAATACCTCCTCCAAGGCCAAACAATTTGTTCTTGTAGTAGAAATACAAAAGCTGAAATGAAGTTGTGAGATAACCTAAATAATTTGTCCTAAAACCCCAATCTCAGCAGTCGACACGAATACCAATACAACACATGTTTTACACTGAACTACACAATATATGATATATACACAATTTGTTTAATAGGATTTAACAAGGTGTGACATCCTCTGTTCTTAACCCTCAACAAGAGTAAAACTACCAAAAAACCCTCTTAACAGGAAACGTAGAAACCTCAGAGATCCACATGTGAGGTTTCCTCTCCCAGGACGGACAGAAGATGCTGCGTGTAGCTGAATAGATCAACACAATTACAATATCCTGCTAAACAACAACAAACACATGGTGAAAGAATAAACTCTCCGTTGGAGGTAATTAATGAAGATTCTCCAAAGGACAGACTGTTCAACAACATATTCTTTAAAACCTTTAAACCAGTGAGGATTAGAGAAAAAACATAAAGGATGACAAAGGCAAGAGAAGTTTATTTGTAGAACATATGTCAACAGCAGGACGAATCCGAGGGCTTTTCATGAAATATAAAAGACATCATGACAAATTATAAAGCAACAAATAATGCAATTTAAAAAAAAGAATGTGAAAGTAAGAAACTAGTAAGAAATTATTAATTATGTGATTTAATTAAAGGCTGTAACAAACAAAGTAAAAAGAGTTGCAGACCTGCTCCATGTTTGGTTTTGACTCTGGGAGCAGACGTGTCCCAGACGACCTGGATGGTTCCTAATGCAGCAGTAGATCAGAAATGTAAACTGTTCATTGCTTTATAAACCAACAGCAGTATTTTGAAGTTCTTTGACGAGCGTGGAGTAAATATAAATATATTTAAGCAAAGGAAAACGTAAGATGTCTTCCTATAATTTGCCTCAAAATTAATTCATGTTTTGTTCGAGGACATATCGATGAAAGCATTTAAAAGAGGAATTCAAAACATTATGAAGAAATGTCCTCTTTTTTTTTTTTTGCAGATACAACTGATCATGTCATTTCTAACACACTATAGGAAGTGACATCACAGTGTTGACAGTGTGTTCCAGGCACGCCTCCCTGGAAATAAGGAGAGGGGGAGAGGGCATGAGATAAACCATGGTAGATTCAGAGGCAGACGTTGGACTGGCATGGCTGTGTGCAGCTCAGCTCTGCGATCGACATCCACCAGGCTCCTTCCTGGACTTTTGGATTCTCCCTCCACGGCCACGCAGCTTTGACACGGCGCTGGATAGCGTAACATTGAGCTGTGCTGTGTTTTCACAGCATGTTGCAGGGCATTGGGAGATAGACAGGGAATAATCCAGGGGGGGGGCACCTTACCACACTTGAGCGAAGGTCCGCGGGCTTCTCTCTCTCTCTCTCTCTTTCCTTTCATATCGTCAGCCTTATCTACACAGAGACCTGGGAATAATGGAGGGATGCATCGGTGTTTCTCTTCGCCTGTCATGCTTGAATCACAGCTCCATTTATCCTTTTGTGTCACAGACCTTATTGCCTTTGTCTGTCACTGCTGCCAGATCAACTGTGGGGTAGCGTGGCGGACAGAACCTCCTCCTCCTCCTCGACCCCCCGCTCCCTCGTCTGTGCCCCTGGCTTCTCATCACTTCAAGCTCGCTCGTGTCTTTTTACCTCTCGTGAGCCACCCTCCCCTCTCTGCTGAGCTCCGTCTTTCTTGCTCTCCCGCTCTCTCCTCCTGCTTTACTATCTCCCTCTCTTTGCTCTCTCAAAGCAGGCGGTCTGCTATTCTATCCAGACAGCTTGCTACATGATCTCCTGGAGAACAGTTCTCACCGCTGCTCTGCCGCCTCACAGTTCCTGAGCCGATTTTCATCTCCACAACGGCAGGATGCTCCTTAACGAGGATTGATCCCCGTTCACCCCCTTTCACTTTCCCCTTCCCTTCCCTTGTCCTGATCTCCTGCCCTCTGACCCTCACCCTCTTGTTCTCTACCCCCACCTTCACCTCGTCACCCTGACCCGAGCCTCTTTCCCTCCTAAACCACCCACCCCCCTTGACCATGTTGCCATGTGTCTGCTGGCTCCAACCTATCCTCATCATGTTGTCCTCTGTCTTATGGACCCGGGGGGAAAACTGCCCAGCAACCTGCATGTGTCCGGATCCTCACACCGTGGACTGCAGCGGCCGCGGGTTGACCCGACTTCCCAATGAGATCCCGCTGGATGTACGCAGGCTTTTGCTGGCGGACAACTGGATTCCCCGCATCCCCTCGGACTTCCTGGTTCTGTACAGCGACTTGGTGTACCTGGACCTTCGGAACAACTCCCTCTCCCTCATAGAGCCGGGGACACTCAGCACTTCTTCCAGACTGGTGTTCTTGGACCTGGGCAGCAACAATCTGACTGAAATCCCAAAGGGGACATTTGGGGAGTCCCGTAGCCTGATCAAACTACGACTGGGCAACAACCCTTATCTGAGCATGGTGAGTGAGGATGCTTTCCTGGGCCTCACCTCTCTGAGAGAACTGGAACTGGAGCGTAATGCACTGTCTACCCTTAAGGTGGGGGCACTGAGTCAGCTGCCCTCCCTGCGGGCAGTGAGGCTGGAGGGCAACCCCTGGGTATGCAACTGCAACTTTGCCAGCCTGTTTGCGTGGCTGATGGAGAACAGTCACAAGCTTCCAAATGGTGAGTAGCATCATCCAAGAAGCGTTTTCTCTCCATATGTTTGACCCAAATAAAGCATATCTGAGCACAACATACAACAGTATTATGGCAAAACCATTGGCATCACACTTCTCTGGTCTATTTATATTTTCCCTGTAGGAGAGGGAACCCCCTCCGCCCCCCCTCCTCCCCTGTTCTAATTCCGTCTCGTTCGCCCTCCACCCCCATAGCTCATCATGTTTGAGTGTGTGTAATATGAGACATTAGCACTTGTTTGAAGGTGGAAACTGGGATCTTTTGTTTACCTTTTTTTGATTCCTTTTGAAAGTCAGAATGAAGCACTAATTCAGAATTCAGCGTTAACCAACATATGATGTGAACCAACTCAGGAATTTATGCTCGGAGTTTGTTTTGTTTTTGGTTCCACATTTCAGCATAAAAACAAGCTTTGACCTCTATCTTGCGTGGTAGTCGAATCGATCAATTTGCGGCTTATATTTATATAATACTTATATAATACTTTGCTGGACAATGTAATTCAACGATATTGTCAAGAATTTCTTGCCTTTTTCCAATGGAAGTCAAAGTCTTTCATTCCTCTGTCCTTGCTAAGCTGTAGGCCCATGCAAGTCTACCGCTGTGAATCAGCCTGGAGGGTTAAATAACAGGGCTGAAATTTTAGTGTGTTTCAGTGCAAATCTCCGTGTGACTGCATATTTGAACCAAAACAAAAGACAAAGGGGGATTGCCATGTCCCTGTGGAATGATCATACTGTGGGTAAGATCCGGTTACTTGCACCCTAATTAGCTCATGCAGCAGTCAAAGCTACAGGAGCACAGGACCTCTGTTAATATCATTTGGTTCAGTAAAATCGCTAAAGCAACTGCCTGAAGCAGTTTAACCCTCATTTTGCTCAGAGGGAACCACAGATGCTTTATTCTTAAGGTCAGTCATTTGTATATTACTATAAATGTCCTCACAAAGGACACAGACAGCAGTTACCTCATAAGTGCGAGACAACACGTGGGAGCTGAGGAGGCAAAAATAAACAGAACTGACAGCGCAGCCACACATGACTAGTAACTTGCGCTGTTATCATATTTACATTGGCTCATTTGGCAGATGCTTTTATCCAAAGTGACTTATGACTGGGAGACAACACTCGAGCTGCAGTCCAGTGGGAGACCTTGAAATAGCAACTAAATCTGTTGTGTGGGAGATCAGGAAAAGAAAAACACAAACAATAAGAGTTATTAATCAGCGTTAATGTCAGTTTTTATAGCTTTGACGTTATTTTGGCTTATTCTGACGAGGTAGAGGTTTGTGTTGTTTGCCTGTGCCCATGTGCAAAGTTTCTTCAAAATCATGATTCAGTTTATAAATACAGTACATAATGTTCAGGGTGTTGTATGTAAGGTGCACAGATAAGAACTGGAGACTTATATTTCTGTCACTGTTCCAAGGTTGTTGCAGGTAAGAAATGTTGACATCTGCAGTGTATACAAAGAAGAGATCGAAGCCCAAATCTTCCCACTCAATATATGATTTTTGGAGGTGTGAGAATGATGTGCATCGCATAAGAAACCAAACATTCATGGTAACTGACATTAACCACATGAATATTTAAGGATATTTGAATGAATATCCTTAATTACATTGTAGATTTCATGACAGAATTGCCTTTTTTCCATTTGCAAAATATACTGAAAATCCAATTTAAATTCTAATGTGATCAGGCTGGAAAAAGCTTTAATTCAGCTGCCCTAAAAGAAAAACTATCTGACTGTTCAAAACTGCTGACACTTCAACAAAATCTACCAATTAGGCCACAGTGTACCGTGCTATTGATACTGCTTTTCCTTTCCCCTCTGGTCTTCCTACATCTGCCCTAAAAAACAGACAAGTTTGGGCCTGTAAGGAGGCAAAGTTGATTAACTACCAGGAAAAACTAATTCCCTTCAGTTCAAGGCTGTAAATGCATGAATCACGAGGTCTAAGCGTTGTCAGCTGCAAGGCGTAATGAAGTGCGTTAGCTATGCTGGCCAGGCAGACATCAACAACAGGAAGACGCCAAGGGCCTAGCCAAGCTCCTGGTATGGCTGCCAACTGGCCCCTGCGTATACACACTCTCAAATTGAGTTAGTATGGCATATCTCACCTCACACGCAGCTCTTACATCCCCATCAGTAGGTGTTTGGTTTATGAACCTCAGAGATGAGTCCATATTAGCTTGGAAAATGCACACACGTTTATTTGCATGGACCACCTTACGTCTTTTTCTTTCTTTGGCCAATAAAATGTGTCTGGAAGGTACTTTTTTAATGCTAAAAATGCTGGGAACTAGATGACAGATTACATTTTAGCAGAAGGAATAATAAATATATTTTCTCTTCATAATGCAAATTCTTTAACGGGTCAGAGAGGACAAAGAATAGTTTTACTGAAATAATATTGTCCCCCAAAACAAGACTTTTGTCTTTCTCTCCCTTGTTAATCTTAAAAGATTTTAAATTCAAGGGATACATAAAAATGCCAATAAAGAACATGCAGTTAAGAATTGGATGCTTTGTGGTTTCATTGTGTGTCTGTATCCAACCTGTGAGTGAACTCTGCTGTCAGGATGTTCCAAGAATCGTTCAAGTTCTAGACTACGTTATCAAAATCTGCAACACGCCCTCTATCTGCCAGTTGTGACATTCGATGCTTGTTTGCTGTGGACCTTTCCCTTCTATGAACTTGACGTGAGTGCATCTGTGTCACACTGAGTCTCTGTGGATCGCAGATCTACTGCTGAACAAACACAAACTGGCGGGGAGGCTTTACAGTGAGACGGCTTTACAAACACGGCAAGTTCACACATGCTAGCGTCATCATGCCAGACCTAATTAACTTAATGACTGTGCTCTCTGTCATGGAAAAAAATGCAATGACCTATTCTCTGGATTTCTGCATCAGAAGTGGTTACACAATAACAGATGGGCACTCATTAGTGAATGAGGTTGGCTTGATAAGCTTTTCAATATGTATCAACTCTAACAACGCTGTGGGTGTTTCAACTCAATATCTCATTCATCATAGAGGAAATCAATTACTGAGACAGGAATGACTCTTTAAACTGCAGATTAGTGCGCTCTTTCCATCGGTGGGTGATGCATCCTCATGTCGGTTTCATCATATAACGAGAATGTCACTCAGCTGAGTGCAAAGCTCCACCAAGGCCCGACAATCCCCCTGAATTCAAATGAGCCAGACCAAATTGCACACACTTATAGTTATAGTTTCCCTTAATGCGCCTTATTTCTTTCGAGATCTGTGCGTTATTTGCAGGGAAATTGGTGAAAGTGTCACAAAATAATTAAAATGTAGTTGAAACCTGTCCAATAAGGCAAAGAGTGCTCCTTCACATAAATGAAATAACTCCATAAAAACTGTAATAAACAATTCATATGCAACATGAAGACAGTGAAAGACTTGACTGAATCAAGGGGTCCTCAGTCGTCTCTTAAAGGCTTCAGCAGATGCTGCAGAATGTAAATCAAGGAAATGTAAATAGGAAGAGCATGTCATCATTTGAAGTTTGAATCCCGTCATTCAAATGACGTCAATCAGGTTATCTTGTAGTTTATATAGAAGAAATAAATGTTGCTCTAATAGGAACATAAGAACAACAAACAGAGGTTTGCTCTGGCATGCTTTTGGTTTCACTTTAATCAATCAGGAAAAATGGCAGGTTAAGTTAAAGTTGTAAATTGTGGCACCAGCACGCTATCAGGAGTAAAATTTAATATTATTTAACATGTATTTGTATTAAAGAGAAGTCACCCAGAGATCTCTGTGGTTCCTTCACTGGTGGCCTGCATAATGCAGCAGCTGCGGAGCCCATGCTGTAAACCCAATTCCCATTCCATTTTTCACATCTTGATTTCCCCTGTGATTTTGAGTTCACAACGCAGCACACTTTTCTGTTTGCATAACTTTGATTACTGCAGGTCAGCATGATGAGTGGGAGGAAGATGCTGAAATCCAGGACTTTTTTTTTTTGGAAAAGGGAAAAGCAGTGTGCTTTGCTTGTGGCTGTATTTTGTCTCCTATATGTGCGCCACAGGATACAATGGTTTCAAATCTGACTCTCACACTGACAGAATACCTTCATAGAAATTGGAGAAACCTTGTTTTTCTGGTACCAATTATATTTGTTGGTTTAGCCACTAACCAGGTTCATAAATGTTTTAATTGGGGGATGAGTGTAAACATGATCCACTGCTGTCTCCAGTGCTCTTGGGTTAAGGATGAACAAAGGCCATGTATAATTCAGAGTGACACAGTTCTATGGCACATTGGCCGGGGTAATTGGAGCCAGAGTTGCCTACAGGGCAGGGCAGGCCGACTCCCCTGAGACACTGAGGCTGGGGCTCATCGTCGCATCGCCGTCAACACTAATCTTGACCTGAACAGTTTCACTACAAAGTACCAGTTCATGTGACAGGGTCCAAAGTCTGAATTTCCTTTCACAGTCTATCAAGTTGCTCCCCAGAGACCTGTTAGCGCCTGGTACAATCAGCTCTGAAAATATGATGCTGCTGACCAGCACACACTCGACGCCCCACATGACGTTACTTGAGATCTTTACCACTCATGGGCATGTAATGAAAAAATATCTATTCCTTTAACACAGGCAGGCAGCTTCTTTTAACTTGGCCTAATTTAATGTTTATTTAAAGTCGGGATGTGAGTGAGATGGAGCTGCAGAGGGAGAGCACAGTGCGATAAGGTGGACAGAATTACATCAGCTGCTGCATGTACAGAAGCAGAAAGGGATAATCTGCCAGTGTCAGAAATAAAAGGTGAAAAGGCACAAAGCTTGAGCCCGTTTCGCTGGCAGAGTGCAGCACAATGCATGATGGATAATTCCCTTTATGCCAGCGTGTGGTTAAGTGTGTAGCACAAAGTGCTGAGACCTGCACATTTAGCTGTTCCATCATTATGAATTGTTGTCACAATTCCAAACTGCTTCCTCTCT